CCCCAAAACCCCAAAACCCCAAAACCCCAAAACCCCAAAACCCCATGGAAGAGGAAAGGGGTTGAAAACTGAATATTTTGGAAATTTATTGAAGATTTTGAGTCTTTTGAAGGTGGATTTTTGGTTTCTTAGTCTTCCTTTGCGACCTTCTCTGAGTACAGTCCTAATAGTTGCTTCTTCTTGTTGTTGAGGTAGTGGAAGGTGTTCAAGAAGTTGGGGATGCTGATTCCGATGTACATGAATATGCAGACTCCGTAGTCCAGTGTGAACCCGCCGAGGTCGTATTCGAACAGCCTAAAGATGATTGCAGTGCTTACTTTCTGATGTCTGGGTATAGGTGGTAGATCACTGCGTACGAGCAGAGTAGTTCTAGCGGGTAGAGGACGTAGAAGCTGGAAAATCTGAAGTAGTCGAGCCAGACGAGTTCGAACCTGAGACCCATTGCAATATACACATTATAGACATGCTTGATAATTCTCTCAATAACTCTGATAGCCATCCAGTAGAAATTAATGTAATGGTTTGGACTCATTTCGACTACAAACCAGAGCATCCAAGTTGTAGTGAGATGGTGCATAAAAACATGTGGTCTTAGCTTTGAAATGCCATTTATGTGATGAATTACCTATAATTTTAGCTTCGACTGATCTTACATCCACGAATTGGATCATTTCAAGAGCTATAAACCAGTACTTGTCCATAGAGTATGCTTTTCCGAATTGGTCATAATGCCATATATTGATCTCATTCTCTACTCAATGACTTAGTACTTTCATAACTAGCGTGAATCTATAATATAACCGTTAAAATATGAAGCCATTTAAGTTGGATTGTCACAAACACCTAGTTGAGGATCTAATTAAAGAAACTACATATACTCCAGGTACTTAAATAATGTTGAAAGTACTAGAAACGCAAATAGAAGTCTTTATTTCTATTCTTATCTTATGGCTATCTATGTGCACTCTAAAACTTTAACTCAGTATATCCACTTGGATTGGCCCAAATTCGCTTAAATACTAATCTTCCAGTCAATTTTAGATTCATGAACCAAAACAATTCATTTTCTGTCTCTTTAGAAGAAATCTCTTATTGAAGACAGGTGAACAGAGTACTGAACTGTCATTTATAATGGCATCTCAGCCAAGCAGATATGCAAAACTAGCTAAAGTCATGTTTGATGCAAATAGCACCAGTAAAAATGTCTGCAGTGCCAAGATTCAGGAATCATCTATTAATCACATTCTTTTGAGTGGGTTTGCCAACTGGCTTCTTTGCACATAAAACTCAATTGCTCATGCTATAATTTAGACTTACCACAAGAACAGTGAGATAAAGTTGTAAAGAACCAGGTAGAACATTTTCTAACTGAAGTTATTTATTTATATTATTATCAACAACTCATATTAAAAGTGGGGTTTTGGGGTTTTGGGGTTTTGGGGTTTTGGGGTTTTGGGG